GCGGCTTCGTCAAGTCCGACGTGGAGATCAACTACTCGCTCATCGAGGTGCGGCCGCGCGGTCCGTGCGCCCGCCCCGCCGGGAGAGGGGGGAGCCTGGGCTTGGATGGGCCCCGCTGAGTGTCAGGGAGAACAGGGCTCCCAGCCTGAGTCCAGCCAAAAGCTCCCAGGTGACGGGCAAGAGGCCTGATGGATGGAGGTCATTGGGTAATTTGCTGATTTAAAGTGAATGCATCAAACGAGCACTGAGACATTTCAAGCCAACGCCGGTGTAATTCCGGTTGAAGAGTTAGTTAGCCTTCCCGATCAGGGGTAGGGAGCGAGTGCTCGGTTGCAACCCCCCTACCCTTGATCTGCCCCTGACCCAACTAGAGGGTTTCTGTGCGGGGAGGGGCGGGGAGTCTTCCAGCCACTGCGCGTCCTTGGGATGCTTGGTTCCTGTGCTGTCTTGCAAACGTTGTCCTCACAAGCCCTGGCTCGGTTCCCCTGCTCTCCACTCATCCCTGCGCCGTGCACGTCCAGATCTGCTGAGAGCGCGGCCTGTTTCAAACTCGGTCACCCGGGAGCAGTTAACGAGACGGCTTCTTCTCTTGTTTTCTGTCTCGTAGATTAAGTTATATACGAAGCACGGGACTCTGAAATACCAAACGGACTGTGCCCCCAACAATGGCTACTTCATGATTCCCCTGTACGACAAGGTAAGGAGTTGCGCGCTGTGGGAATGTCCGCAGGACGCTACCGTGATCAGTTGCTTACCATTTGGTCCAGTTTGCCAAGTGAAATCTGATTTGAACACAGCATATCAAAGAGGACAGGGTAATTGCACACACACGTACAGACTGGGGAGCAGCTCTGGCTAGGCTGCAATACTGCAGAGAAGGATCTGGGGCTTACAGCAGACCATAAGGTGAATATGAGCCCATGGTGTGCTCTTGTTACAGAAAAAGCCAAATCATCCTGGGTCGTATTAAGAGGATTGTCATTTGCAAACCAAGGGAAGTGATTCTTCCACGCAGTTCAGCACTGGTGAGGCCTCCCTTGGAGTACTGTGTTCAGCTCTTGACCCCAAACTGCCCGTGGCTTTTCTGCAGTGTGGGGTCAAAAGCTGAACACTGCTCCAAGGGAGGCCTCACCAGTGCTGAATTGTGTGGAAGAATCACTCCCCTTAGTTTGCAACTGTGCGCAGGACAACAGAAATGATTAGGGGCCTGGGCAGCAAGATTTAGGAGGAAAAGCTGAAAGAATTAGGGTTATTTAGTTCGGAAAAGAGAAGACCAAGGTGGAGGGACTTGCAAAGTCTTCACGTACATGAAGGGTGATTATAGAGAGAATGGAGATGGGTTTTTTGCTATGGCTGTAAGAGACAAGACTAGGAGCAATGGCCTCAAGCCGCAGCAGAGGAGATTTAGGTTGGAGATTAGGAGGAACTTTCTGACTATGAGGGTGGTCGAGCATTGGGACAGGTGACCTAGAGAAGCTGTGAAATCTCCATGCCTGGACATTTTCAAGAGCAGGATGGACAGACACTTGGCTGGGATGGTTAGGGATGATCCTGCCTTGATCAAGGGGCTGGATTAGATGACTTTGTAAGGTCCCTTCCAGCCCTACTTTCCTATGATCCTATGAGCAGCGTTCCCTCTAAGCTGTGTGGCATGTGCGGGTGTGCCTGGTAGCACATTGTGTGTGTGGCTGCGCGTGCCACACAGCTTAGAGGGAACTCTGCCTATGATCAGTGCATCATGATTTGCTTCAGATCTAAACGGAGTTTAATTTTTCTTAGTCCTGGTGTTTTATTCCTTGCAACCATGTATTATAATTTGATGTTACTTGACTTTTGTCGTATGAGTATTTATTTGTATCAGTAATCACGAGACTGAACTTTGTTTGGGTTGGTAGCATAGAAATACAACTCAAGAAAGTCCCTCTCCCAAAAAACTTAAAGGCTAAGTATGTGTAAATTGTAGTCATCTACTTAGGACATATAAAAGCATACTTGTTGTATAATAGTATATGTTACATCATAGCACAATGGAGAGGAATGTAAATAAAGGGACTACTTAAAAGAACAAATTCCAGACAATATTTTAAAAAGTTGTCTTAACTATTCAAAGTATGGTATGAACTATTCAAAGTATGATGGAGCATAAAGCCAATGTCTCAATGTTATGATGCTGATTTGTACTGGGAAGGCTGATTCTTAAATTGAAATTAAATGGGTATTAGCTTGAAATGTTCTTGTTTTGTTTGCTTTAAATTGGTTAACTACTGAATTACCAGACTGTCTCCATCTGGCCTCTTGCTCTGAGCCGTATCTGTAACCTGGAAGCTTTTTGCTTACCAATGCTTAATTCTTAGGTTTATGATGAGCTCTGTGTGGGTGGGATCTTAGCCCATGTGGGACGCCACAGATTTCCATGGGGCTGTCTTACAGCTCTTAAGGGTATGATCACTGATGAAGTAATCTCTATCAAGAGAAGCAGTGGACTTACTAAATTGAAGTACTCAGGCTCTCGGAGAATTTGGAGGAAACCTGCCCTGGCTTTTTAGTGTGTTCTTATCTAGCCAAGCCACTGTATCTTTGCCCATTTTTTTTGCTTTAAATTAGCAGATTCCATTTAAACCCAGGGATGTCTTTATTATCTTTTCCTAGGGGGATTTCATTCTTAAGATTGAACCTCCCCTAGGGTGGAGTTTTGGTAAGTACTCATTGTTCTTTGGTAAAACTGGTGCAGTACATGTGCTGCTCTTCCATTGCCTGCTGTGAAGAGGCTGTGCTTTGTGGCTGGGGTGGAGAGGAGAAGAGTGTCAGCTGAGTTTGGTATATTGACCAATATTGGTATGTTTTTTAATGTTGAAAACATGCTTTTTCCATGGCAAAGCCACAATGGCAGCCCAGCGTGACCAGACAGATTTGTGAGCTGTAGGTTGAAGAATGACCATAGAAGATGGCATTGATGTTCATTAGGTAAATTAATACATCCCATCTACCCCAAGATGGGAAATTGTGCCAAGCTATTTTACTTGTAGTTAGTTGAAAGGAATAGAAGGTGTTTGGCTGGGGAAGGAAAAAGCCCAACAGGCTTGATTTTAATGTCTGAGAGGTGAACGTTTCCAAGACACAAATAGCTGACAAAATGAGGTGCGTCATCCAGCCCTTCTCTAATCAGTACAATATTTTCTTACATTTTATGACTTTATTATTCAGTCATCTGTTTCTAAGAACCCTGTGTGAACTTAAATGGATACAACATTTCAGTACGTATAATGAATGAATAAAACTTAACATACCTAATATGAGATTCAGTTACCCATCCTTAAGAAGTTCTCCTTACCTATTTCACCGTGGGAGAATAACCTCTTCTTTCGTGGGCTTGTCATTTTTTTTTTTTAACCTGGCAAGTGTTGGAAAGCAGAATAGGCATCAGTTACTTACTTAGTAACTGCTTCAGTTATAGCTGAAGTATATTGTTACCAATATAATTATATCATTTAAATATACAGTGTATAAATGTAATTTTTTTTTCCAGAACCAACTAGTGTGGACATCCATGTGGATGGTATTAATGACATTTGCACAAAAGGAGGTGATATTAACTTTGTGTTTACTGGGTTTTCTGTGAATGGAAAGGTTAGGCTTCTTTTTATACTTTTTCTAGATATTCAGTATTAACATGAGAGATGTTTCCAAGGGGCATTATATTGCTCCTCTGCAAGTTACCTTTTTATTCATTTTGCCAGGTTCTTAGCAAAGGTCAAACATTAGGTCCTGCTGGTGTCCAGGTTGTACTGAGAAATGCTGGCAGTGATGTAAACATACAAGCTACTGTGACCCAAGCTGGAGGAAAGTGAGCATCTATTTGTTTTTAGTTTATTCAACATTAGTAGGTTAGAAAGGGAAATATAATGAGCCATTAGGGATTTTTGTGAATGATGACTTCATTTTGGGTTACACTTAAATATTTCATGGTTGGGAAAAATATTAAGAATGTTCCTGAAAAAAAATAATTTTGTTTCCTGTTTCACAGGTTTGCTTTCTTTAAAGTGCTGCCTGGAGAATATGAAATCTTTGCCTTTCATCCCACCTGGGTATTGAAAGAGGTTAGTGCTCATAAAGCAGAAGCAACTGGGAGGTGATTTTATTCCCCCTGTGTAATATTCATTCCCGTGTAATAGGAAGTGAGTATCACAGGACGTGAGTTAATGAATCAAGTTTAGATCAAGTGGAAGTTCCAAAAATCTTTGAAAGATATGGTAACAAGTTGCATGCCTGGAGTGTGTGTGTCCTTTTGCTAATCTCATGCATTCTGCCTTTTAATTGAGATAACACAGGTACTTCCTAGGGACTGCTGCCTATTCTTAAAGCCACTCGTAAAGCAACTACCTGCTGTTTTTCAGAGGCATCCTCTGTTTCCTTCTCTTTTGAATAATCTATGTACTCTCTCCTGCTGATGTTCATAAAGGAGTTATAATGTAGTTCGTTATACGGGTGATTGCGTGGTTGTCTTGTGCCTTGATGATTATGAATGGGGGCCTATTGTTCTGTTCTGAAACATGCCTACTTTTGTATTTCAGGCAAACACAATGGTGCGAGTGACCAATTCCAACGCCTATGCTGCTGCCCCTCTGATTGTGGCTGGCTACAATGTTTCAGGTTCTGTACGAAGTGATGGTGAACCCATGAAAGGAGTCATGTTCCTCCTCTTCTCCTCCTCAGTCACCAAAGAGGTAGTGATGGATCAGAGAGACTTCCTTAGTATCAGGGGTGTAAATGTAAAGGGTTTAACTGGGAGAACGAAGCAAAATCTTGCACTCAGTTCAGTGCTTATAAGGCAATGACTTGTGACCTCCTTAAGCAGTTGATTTCAAAGTGTCGGAGGCTTTTTTTGACAGCAAGGAGTAGAACACTATTGATTTGATGAATATCAGGAACTCAACAGAGTGTAGAGGGAGAGGGACACATGGACTTCTGTTATCTGCTTAGCAGACCCAACAGCTTCTATTGGCTCTAGTGGTCTGTAGATGAAAGAGTTAATGGGAGCTATTGATTCTTTCTAGCCTAAGAGTATCTTCCATTTCAGCTCTGTTCATCATCTCTGAAGAGGCTGACAACATTGACATGACTTATTTCTCAAGCAGAAAGAATGGTTGGGAAGGAGAAGGGAGTTTGAGTAGAATAGACTGTCTTGGCCTTGGGGGAAATGGGGTGCTCAGAAGTTCAGGGAGAAGAGCAGATTGGGACACTGAGGGCCCTTGCCATAGAGAAAATTGGGGTGCATAGAGCACATGATGGATGGGAAAGTGGCCCGTGAACCCAAGGATCTCCTGAAGCATCAGACACTGGTTTTTGTTGGATTCAGGGTATCATGGCTGGCAGACCAAGTCTTGCTAGATAAATCTTAACTTTTGCTCTAGCATAGATCTAGGACCACTAACCTTAATCTCAGAACCCTGGTGCACGGTATGGCAGGCCACACAAAGCCCAGAAAGAAGGAAACTCCTAGACAGGGATCTATAGGGATACACAAAGCCTTTGCCCTGAGGGAAATGGAGGCACTTGCAATACTTGGCATGATGAGGGGCTGGGGGTTGGAAAGAGTTCTTAGAATAGTAAAAAGTGGCACATGAGGAGCTTGTGGTAGAGAGGGGGTGCAGTGAGCTGGTCCTACTGAAGTTATTGAAATATGAGCATCATCTTACTTGTTTCATGTCAAGAGCCTGATTGTACAAACCCTTGTCTCTGTGCTTGACTTTCTAGAGAGCCCAGCAGAGTTCCTTTTGTGAGGAAAGGTCTGTCTGGGTATAAACGTTTTCAAAACTGAGACCTGGATTTACAATATGCATATAACTGAGCAGGGGCACTTGATTGTCAGTTGCAAGAAATGAGATGTTTTGTCAGATCTTAGTTTCAATAGAGCTTCAAAGGGTGAAGATTAAACCCCTATATTCTCAAAGGTCACATTTTTCCAATTACCTTCCCTCTGTGCATGGAGCCCAGGTGTCAGCCCAAGGGATGACAATTCTTTATCAAGGTCCAAAAGACACGGGGGTTAGGGAGGAACTTTTGGCTAATGCCATATAGCTGGGCATGCAGATGAGAGCTTTTATCTCTAACCCTGACTTCGGTTTGGGTTAAGTCTCAGTAGTTAAGTCTTACTTCTGTTGTAGCATGACTCTAGGAACACTAACCTTAAGTTCTTATTTTAAGTGCTTTTTTGATCTTTAAAAATTGCCAATATCCAATGGCTGCCACACACTATTGGTTTATGAACATATAACCATTTGGGAGTCTCTGCTCTGGCTTAAAGTAACCCAGTATGGAGTGTAACAGGTAATTACTGTGGAGGTGGCTAGTGCAACATTTGGATATCAGGGAAGCAATCAAGTTCAGTTTTCAGAATCTTGCTCCTTTAAACTTGCTTCCATGTAATTATTTTTCCTGGGATTTACATGTATAACATGAGTCTCAATTCCAAACTCTCTCTTAACTCGCGGGAATTAGAAGGGGAAAAATTTCATCTTAGAGGAGAATGCTTAACATGAGAGAGAAGTAACACTGCTTCTCTCTGAATAGGATATTATGGGCTGCAACATTTCTCCAGTCGATGGGTTCCAAGTGAGAGATGAGTCTCTCTCCTACCTGTGCAATGTTATATCAAAGGAGGATGGATCTTTCACATTCCTCTCTTTACCAAGTGGAAAATACACTGTGGTAGGTAATTGCAAGGTTCATTGCTTGCTTGCACGTGGATTGCCTTCGAGTGTTTTGTTGTTCACATTCACAGTTGTATTGCTAAAGCAGTAATAGTGGTAGGTGTCTGCCCTGGATGGACTGGCTGGAAAAGAACTATGCCCAGTAAAATGTATGACGCTGAGGTAAGTGGGTGAGGTAGAACTGTGCGGGGAGGTTTCTGAGTCGCTGTTTATTAGCAAATAAGTGCCTAGCCAAATAGCTCAGCCAATCCTAGAACCCCACCTGAAGTTTGTTTTAGACTAGAAAGCTGCAGGTAGCTGTTCATGGGTTGTGCCTTCAAGATCTTTCCTTGCTGTATCCCTCTTTTTTGTTCACTTACAGCATTAAGTAAACATTTACATTCAGCCTGGGAGGGAAAGACTTATTTTTTTAACCCATCTAATTAGATCTCCTGCTAGGGCTTGGAATACATTAGAGCAGGGCTGTCCTGCTTCCAGGCACCTGGGAGCCACATGCCACATAGGCCATGTACCCAAGGGCCACAGCCATGTGGGTGACTTGCCTCCCCAGCTGACTCCTTAAGTGAGCTGCCCAGTGCCACCTCACAGTGGGGCAGCCCAGTGTCCCCTTTTTCCTTCCCCCTCTGCTGTGTGCAATCTCTCAGCTGCAGGTGCACCAGTGGGCAGTCCCCTCTCCTCGGACCCCCCTCCATCACAGGCAGCCTGGATCCCCCTCAACCCACTGCATGCGGCCAGAAAGGGTGGAGGGGTGTAGATCTTCCCTGTGTGTGTGGCATGCACAACTAGGAGAGTGAAGGAGCCAGGCTGTAGTGGAAACGGCCTGACTTCTTATGGCTGTTCATATGGCACCTACTCCCCTCCTGGGCCACATGTACCGCCCACCTGGAGTGCTTGTCGGCTCTCTTCTTTGATATGCACAGAGCTCATACAGTTCAGCCTGCTCCTTGCTGCTGTGGCAGGAGCAAATGAGGCAGAATGGAGGTCAGGAGGGAGAGTAGCTAACCCTTTGGGGGCCACGTGAGGCCTGTGGGTTGCCTCGTGGACAGCCCTGCACCAGAGTATTGCAGCTCTGTAATGCCTGGAAGCACTCGTGCATGCTTGCCTACAATATGTTGCAGTGGTGCGCAGGCACCCATGGTGTTGTTGGGTTACTGTTCAGCAACAGCATTGGTGTAAGGGAAATACATTTAGTCCTCCCAGTGCAATCCACAGCATTCCTGTGTGTTGATTAGTGAGGACTTGGGCAAATCATATCCCAAATATTAAGCCCATTTCACAGATGGGTAAAACAAGATGAAATAGGTTGAGTGATTCACTACTGCCATTCTTCCTTCCCTCTGAGTTATGTTTTCCAGCAAGCTTCTGACCCCTTGGAAATCCTTTGCTTTAGAAACAAAACAGGTAGCAGCTCTGGGAATGTTGTGCAGCATAGGTTTGTCAAGGTTCAAGGTGAAACACAACACTTTGGTTATACACCAGCTACTTGGGAGTCAAAGAAATGTCTCTTCTTCCAGATACCATTTTACAGGGGGGAGAGAATTACCTTTGATGTTGCTCCATCTAGACTGGACTTTGCTGTAGAGCATGACAGTTTACAAATTGAGGTAAGGAGTCACTGCAGGAATTTAAAGACAAATTTGCCTTTGAATATATTCCTGTGAACATAGAATTGATTGTACTGGAAGGTGGGCTTGAGAGGCAAAGCTTTTCTTCATAATGAGGTCTAAGCTAATTCATAACCCCTGCTCAAGTAAATTCCTCATTATGGGGAGTTTTGGGCATTGTGCTGCTATGACAGTGGTGTGATGTTTTGATATGTTAGGTAACCTTTACTAGAGAAAGGACAAATAAGGGAAACAGCCTGCAGCTGTTTGGCTTTTTCTGGACTTGTAAATGGACAATGACCTTCTCAGATATGTAGATTTGTCCGGGAGCTGTCTTTATGCTTTGTAGAACCTTGAGTAAAATGGGGTCATGGTCCCAGACTGAAGGTGTTTTGTGTTGAGATAATCAAATTAATTGAAAGCTTCCCTGGCTCCTGTAGCTACTGAGACAGACTGCCTCAATTTTTACCTGAAATTACCAAGCCAAGGGTGTTGGATGTAAAAAGATTAATGGAAATTTCCTTTATAAATTTTCATAAAAAGTATTTCTTGCTGCATGCCACACCACTATTGTGCAGCCCAGTGATTTCACAAGTTGGATACTAATGATCTGTTTCCTCCCACCAACCACAGCCTGTTTTCCACGTAATGGGCTTCTCTGTCACAGGCAGAGTGTTGAATGGCCCTGAAGGAGAAGGAGTTGCTGACGCTACAGTAACCCTTAACAATCAAATTAAAGGTAAGCAGTAATTTTTTATTTTCTATGTTTTTGGTTCTTGGTGTTGTGGGAAAGTTTAAAAGCAAGACTGAAGTGTAGAAATAGGGATTGAACCTGAACTAATGGCTCATGGGAATAAGCTGCTTTTGCTGGGGTTTATTTGGCAAATTCAAGAGGCTTTCAGTCACTGGATTAAATTTCCATTTCCAGTCTGTCTAGATGAGAACAAAAGAGCTGAAGTGTTCCATTGTTTTGCTTTATGAAGCTTTGTCATAATTTCTTTCAGAAACTTACTAAACCAAGGATGGTGCTGTAAGACACAGAACCAAAAGTTACTCTGGAAAGAAACCATTAGTGGTGTCCTGCTACGCAATGTTAGTCAAAAGTAGCCTGGAACTTTGGGTGGTTTCTGAAATTTCATTGACCTTAGCAGTGATATTTGCTTAACACACTCTTGTTTTCCTCACTATCCTCTCTGTTTGTTGTAGTAAAAACAAAGGCTGATGGCTCTTTCCGCCTTGAGAACATAACGACAGGCACATACACCATTCACGCCCAGAAGGAGCACCTCTTCTTCGACACCATTACAGTGAAAATTGCACCAAACACCCCTCAGCTAGCAGACATTATAGCAGCCGGGTAAGTGCCCTTTTACGAGGAGAAGGGGAACTGTTTCAAAGTATTAATGGGCAGGTTTAGATTTCCAGAGTTATAAGTGCATGTTATCTGTAGCATGAGAAACAGGGATTCTCAACAATTCTGTACTTAGACTTCCACACTTGGGTGCCAGGAATTAAATGTCACTTGAGGAATTCAAGGAAGATAGGACAACATGTAGTGATAGGGTTTACTTATCCAACTGAGTTCTCCCAATATTTTGCCTGAGAATAGTGTTTTAACATAGGCCCTTTTTAGTGTTTTAACATAGGCAGGTAGAGAATCTCTAGACTCTAGAGCACACAAGTGGTAAATGACGTGGCTCTGGTTACACAAGAGCTCAGAAAAGAGCAGAGCCATCCAGTAGGTAGTCCTATACTTCATACGTGACCATTAGACCTGTGCAAAGTGGCAAGTATTCAGTTTGGATTCGGACGATTCAGAGGGACAGTGATTCGATTCAGCGATTCGAATCACTGTCCCGATTCGGATCTGAAGATTCGGGGGCAATTTGAAGATTTGTCCATAGACTAAACAGGCAGCAGTCCTCGAGGACTCTAGACACAGCTGCCTCCAGCTGGTAAGTCTGCTGTGGTGGCCGGAGGGGGGAGGGGGAAGGGGCATGTGGGGGACAGATCAATGCCCCCACAGCGAGGGAAGGTTTGGGGCTGGGGCTGGGGCCGGGACAAGCTGCCCAGCTGGGTCATGGGGGGCGGGGCGCAGGACTCGGGGAGGGAAGCTCCCACCACCTCTCGCCACCAGTCCAGGAAGGCATGGGAGCGGGCATGTGCCCTGGATCTGCATGGGGCAGGCTGGGCCAGGCTGTGCTCTGGATGGGCGGTGAAAAGCTCTGGGAGTGGAGGCTGTGCCCTCCCACCACTCGCTCAGCCTCCCTGTGCCTCCCAGATAAGCTGTGGCTTTGCCCCAGCTGGGCAAGCAGCGGCTGGGCGTGGGGGCGGGCGCGTGCACCTGGATTGGAGCAGGGCCAGTGGCAGGGGCTGTGGGGAATTCTAGGGTAGCTGCAGCCCTCCCATAGCTCCCATTCCACTGCACTCTATGGGGAGGGCGGAACTAGGGCTGCGCTCTGGACTGCGGGTGGACCTAGCCACCCAAAGTGCAGCCCTGCGTCCACCCGCACCGCAGAGCACGGCCCGGCGGTGGGCGGCTGGGGCTAGCCTCCCAGAGCGCAGCCTGGCCCAGCACACCCCACACAGATCCAGGGGCACACGCCCGCTTCCATGCCCTCTTGGACTGGTGGTGCGTGGCGGCACGCAGTGGTGGGAGCCCTCCTCCCCAAGTCCTGCACCTCCCCACCCTAGCTGGGCAGCTTGTCCCAACCCCTGCCCCAATCTCTGCCTCGCTATGGGGGCATTGATCTTCACTCGCCCCCCCACAACGGACTTACCAGCTGGAGGCAGCTGTGTCCAGCGCAGTTGAGGACTTCTGCCTGTTTAGTCTATGGCTGAATATCCGAATTGGTGCTGAATCTTTTTCAAATCAATTCAGAACTTTTAATTGGTCTCCTGATTCAATTCAGATTCGGAGGTTCAGCCACTGAATCAGGTCGAATCTTCTCCCAGTCGAATTGGCTACTGAAGCTTTGCACAGCCCTAGTGACCATCCATCATTTCCATGGTGGTTCAATAGTCAATCATAAAAATACAGCACGGTGCAGAACTCCTGTGATGTGGTTTGTTTGGTTTTTTTTTACTTCTGCTCTACTCTCAAGGTCAGATTTGTTTACTAAAGCTCTAGACAGATGTAACAGTTATATCAATATCAGAGGATAGTGATATGATGCAGCTATTATGTCTGCATGATTCTGTAGTGATACAAGAAAACCCTTCCAAATTTAACTTAGCTTAATTCAGTGTCAAAGTTAGGGCAGTTGAGCTAATTTGTATCCTTACAGAATTGTGCACTTATAACAGGGCTATGCGAAGCTTCAGTCACTCTACCTGATTCGGTAGAGATTTGGCAACTGAATCTCCAAATCAGAATCAAATCAGGAGATCCTTTAATCTTTCCGAATCGAATTGGAACCCTCTGAATCGATTCAGAGAGATTCGATGATTCGGGTATAGACACAGCTTTAAATGTTTTTTCTACATACCTTTAGGTACCGGGGCAGCTTGCGAACGCTGAGATGCTGGGGCGGATGGAGTGTTCCACAGGAGCGGGGAGGGGGGGGTCCCCATTGTACTCGGCGGTGGTGACTGGTGCATCCTGGGTCTGGGTGGGCAGCTGGGCCCAGAAGGGTCTGCCGCCAAGCTCACAGCGGGGGGGGACACCCTGTGCTTCCATGGGATGCTCTGTCTGCCCCACCACCTCAGCGTTCACGAGCCATGGCTGGTATCTCGAGGTATGTAGAAAAAACATTTAAAGCTGTGTCTGTGGTTGAATCGCTGATTCTCCAAATCAGCATCGAATCTTCAGATTCGGATTCGGCCGAATCAAATTGGGACAGTGATCCGAATCAACGAATCAAATCGGTCCCCGAATCGGTCCCCTGAATCAGGCCGAATCCGACTCAAATACGGCCTACTTTGCACACCCCTACTAAGTTACAGGAGAACTGCTGATGGGCTCCAGAGCAGCTCTCCCTTTTCTTTAATGCAGTTAAAATGATACCTTTGTCCACACTCCAAGAAGCTTTTGTTCAGAGCACTTTGCCTGATGTATTGATATCCATGTTGGAAATATGGGCGTAAAAATTCTCACAGTAAGAGGCACAGTATAAGCTGAGCAAGATAAAGACAAGAGATGCTCTCCCCAAGAGCTTATCCTTACAAGGTTGTGGTTGTTTTCTGTAGAAGACCAGATTACTTCAAACCTTGCCTGGCAAACCTTCTTTTACTCGTCAAGCAAGAAGCAGTATTGTGTAGGAGAACAGGAGCAGAGGACTTGCCAGCTGAACCAAAATTAGACTGGATTTGTGTATCTGTAGATAAGTGTTTTTTCAGAAAACAGCAATGTCTGGCTGTTAAGAGGCCAGTGAGGAGGAGGGAAGGAAATGGATTACTCTGCAACTTGTGTTAATGCTACTAGATTTGTTTGTGATTATCTTTGTGGTTTTTTTGAATAACAGCACTGAGAGAGACTTCCCTCAGTATGTTACGATTTCAACGTTAGTGAGTTTTAACTGGATTTAGATGCAAGTATCTTCCAGGTGCTTTGTCAAATTTACATGCCTGGACTCACTGGGAATGATTGTTTTGCAGATTCAATGTGTGTGGTCAGATTTCTGTAACTCGCTTTCCTGACACAATCAAACAGATCAATAAATACAAGGTTACCATGATATCTCAAGAGACGGACAAAGCGTCATTAGTTACAACAGAGACTGACCCTCATGGAGCATTTTGTTTTAAGGCAAAATCGGGTACATACAATATCCAGGTGAGAGGACAGTTCAGTTTCTTCTCTTCCAGTAAATTTCCTAAAGACACTCTAAAGCTATGTCACTTTTAAAGACACTAAAATATTCTATAATGTGATCTTTTCTCATTTTCCCCATTCCCTTTCATTCCTTTACACGAAACAAACAATGACTTATTTTCCTGTCTAATGAAGCTGACATTGAAGTGCTCCTTCCTGTTAGCCAAAAAGGAGGCGATCAGGGTTTATAGGGTAAATGCTTTAATCTGAGTCTCTGTTGTTTTGGAACCTTCCCTGCCATTGTGTCTTGCCTTGTTAAGTTGCCGTATGAATAAAACTTGACATAGAGCTGACTGCAGCCTGGGTTACAAGAGGAAGCAAAGCCTGGTGTTCGCTGCTTTTTCTCATAGCCATGTCCCTGTGGAAGAGGGGCCATGCTGGGAGAAGACCAGGAAATGTACTGTAATGAAGTCTCCTGCCACATTCCTAGGTACAGACTACTCAGGCCCTCAGAACTGATGCTTCCCAAAGTGTTGCCCTATCAGTTACCAACTCTGGGGTTGCTGGGTCATTAACATTGGACTGGAGAAGAAGCAGGGATTCTGGGTGCACACCATGTGAATGAAGGGAGTTATGTTTTTGGCAGGACAGATAACTGTGAAAATGCAAATGCGTTAAGGAGAGAGATGTGTTTTAGTGATGATTGATTGTAAAACCTGGTAAATGAATTGTGTTCAGTAATTGCTGTACCCAGATTACTGCAGTTAAATGAAAGCCTTTGGTGATGTGATATACCCACAGGTAATTGTTCCAGAGACTGAAGCCAGGGCAGGACTGGCTTTGAAACCCAAAACATTTGCAGTTACCGTTGCAGACAGGCCAGTGATGGATGTGACATTTTCTCAGTTTCTGGCATCAGTTTCAGGCAAAGTCTCTTGTCTGGGTAAGAAAACAGAGAAGTTAAATTGTCTGTGTCTGTTCAGTGTAGACTCTTGGCACCTGATCAGGACATGCATTTTTGAGATCACAGCTTGCTACCTGTCTGCACAGGGCTCAACCAAGTAAATAAGTTCTTATTGTGTACTTGTACTTCCCCACTCTGAAGGCCTTGCAGTTTAATAAGACACTTCTTTGTTGAGGGTTGTGTGTCTTATAGCAAGCACTATGTATATTATTGTTTGCTAGATCAGGATTTTAGGATGCAACCTTTTCAGAGCAAAGGCTGTCTTTATCTGTGTGCAAGACAGCACTGATCATGTTGCCAACAGTTAACTAAAATGCTCCAATCACCTGCTTTAGCTCCGTCAACAGGTGGTTACCTCTTTAATGGGATTATTTGTTATTGTCTGGTTCTGGGTTATTACCTTGAATGTGGAAAACACCAGAACAAAAAGCTCTGTTAATAAATTACACATGCTTAAGTGTTTGTAATGTAGGTGCAGAAGCCGTTAGTAGGGAGGTGGGAGTGCACTTGGTATATCCCTTTTCCTGCCAGTGGGGTCTGAAGTTTCCATCCTTCCTAAATTCCTGCTAGCTTCACCAGAGGATGAGTGAGGTCAGAAATCCTAGGTAGTCATGCTTTTAAATTATTCCCTGTGAGTCTTCCACAGAGCTGAGCCTTCTGGCTTGCTAGCATTTCCCAAGTCTGGCAGTCTGCAAAGAAGATGTGCTCAGGAATCTAATTTGGGCTTCTCCGTTTGTCAGCTGCTAGAAGATGCCAGGGTGTCTGTTGGCTAATGAGCTAAAACTGCTAAAAAATATAGCAAAGCTCTGGTAAACAGATACTTAACAAATAACCCCTTTAAATGATTGACATCCTCTTATTCTAGGGCACAGGGAGCATGACAGGCAGTTTTGCTGAGGCTCTCCTTGTAGGGCAGGAGCCCACTGTAATTCCATTGTCTTTCCTATGTGTTCTCACAGATGCTTGTGGTGATCTGATGATGACTCTGCAGTCAGTGAGCCGCCAAGGAGAGAAGCGCAGCCTTCAGCTCTCTGGAAAGACGGACTCGGTGGTCTTTACTTTTGAAAATGTGCTACCTGGCAAATACAAAAGTAGGCATCATAGAAGCTTTGCACTGAACTTGTGACATTCAAGAGTAGCTGAAAAAATTACATATGTCCTTTGTACTCAGCCATGAAATCAGTCTGTGATCAAAAGCCCTGTAGACTTCAGGGGTTACATATGCAGGTCCAGTTAACCATAATCGTATTGTACAGTGAAACTGCCCTGACTTAAATGGAACTATATCAAAATGGGTAAAGGAACAGACCCTGATTCAGGTTCTCAACCTTTTTTAGACTCAAGGCACACTCAGAAAATGCTGGTGCTTAGTTTTCACTTGTTTTCTGACTAAGGAAAAATTATAGAGCAATTTTCTGTTGCAGAGATCTCAAAATGCCCACAACAGGTCAGAATGTTTTTGACCCTGTGCATTCCTCTTTGAAACCCTGAGTTTTTTGTGAATCATATTTGCACACCTAACAGGGCTAACACTGCATGGCACCCTTGAAAGGATTTTAAGGAATCTATGGCACCCTGGTTGAGAATGTTCATCCTAATTCCCTCTCCTGCCATTGCACCAATTCCTGTCCTAATAGATTGGCTCCTTTTATGAGAGTTAAGGCGCTTTGGAACTTCTTGTTCTCAAAGAGTGTGGACACAAGTGCTTTGGAGCCCTTTCAAAAGGGAAGCAGCTGGTACAATTGTTGTGTGTGAACACATTGAGAAAGATTCAAATGTAGCAGACCCAATCCAGCTCAACACTCCTTCATCCAGGTTACAGTTAGAGTGGATTTCCTGTATTTGAACCGTACTCGGCTTGTTCACACACAGCAATTGGAACATACTAGCTGCTGCCCGTTTGAAAGGTTTTCCTTTTGAAATTGCTCCAAGTGTTCATGTGTCCGTACACAAGAAAGTGGGAAAAGGGGGCACACAGATTGCCTTTTTAACCCAGGTGTCCCACCTGGCAGTGACCCTTAAGTCATGATCCTTCTAGGTATCTTTGGCACAGTTGGTCATGAAGAGGTCAACCTGCAGGAACAGCTAGGAGAAAGTGTATATGGACTTGCAGTGATGTTGCACTGCTGCATGACCAGACTTGTCATATCTGTTTTTTCATGGTTAAATTTGCGTAACTGGAGTGGGAAGGGTTTATGGGAACAGCCAGTTTTATGAAACTTCAGTGCAGCAAGGATATTGCTTGTTCAACACTTTGTGGTGCTTGTTTTTTAGTAAGTATTGTACATGAAGACTGGTGCTGGAAGAATAAATCTTTGGAACTGGAAGTTATGGAGGAAGATGTCTCTGGGATAGAATTCAGGCAGACTGGGTATATGCTGCGGTGCTCTCTTTCCCATGCAATTACACTGGTATGTATGTAACACAATCCCTTTTTTCTTATAGGCACATACATGCAGATGACGTTTGCACAGTTTGGAACCTCTTTGGTTGTTCCTTAGTGCGGGGAGAACTTTCAGACACATTTGGGAAGCAAAAGGAAATTATGAGTAGCCCCAAAAAGGTTAAGAAAACACATTCTTTTGCATGCACTGTGATGAGTAAAAATAGAATATAGAATGTCTTTGGGTGACAGCTTGAAAAGGATGTTTACTGCACAAAAGGTGTGAGAGCTATCTTTTGAAGGTTTTTCTTTGGTATTGTAGCATCCAAGCACCTTTCAAGTCTTGACTTAATTTCCCTGGTAGCTGTGTAAAGCACAGAATTACTGTTTTCCTAGTTTTATATATGAGCTAAGGCACAGAAAGAGTGAGGGACTCTCCTGTGCTCATGCCACAAAAAGCTTTTGGCAGAACCAAGAGAAGTATGTTTTGATGGCCAGTCTTTATCCTTACCCACCAAGCCATCCTTCTCTGTTTGTGAACAGGAAATTTTCAGCTATGTCTGCACTCCAGTCAGAAGCATGACTGTAGATCATGTACATGTGCTTTAGCTAACTTTAAGCTAGCTAGTTTGAACACCCCAGAACTTACTGTGGTTTGCAAAACTTGTCCAATTATTTATAGACTAGTGGTTAGGGCACTTTCCTGAAAGAGGAAAACCTGGATTCAAAAGCCTGCTCTGAATCAGGCAGAATGTGGATTTGAACTGGGGTCTCCCACCTCTGTGGATGGTGCCTTAGACACAAAGAGTATTTATACACATACTTTTTTGTCTTATGACGCACCAGAGATCCGCCGCTTCGGAGGAGGCTTGATTAATCGAGTCCGCTCCTCGCGTGAGCTGGTGTGCTGCGTGCAGTTGTATAGGTGGCAAAATGTGTGTCAACGCGCAGAAAATGGCAGTGGTATGTTTTTGAACTAAAGCACCTTCCATGTGTGTTAGTTCAAAAGTGCAGCACTGCCATTTTCTCAGCACTCATGTGCATTTCGCTGTTTATACAACTGCAAACATTGCAGCGCTGGGTGCTTTTATGTGTAAAAATGCCCAAAGGTGTTGAGGCATAAAGATGTTTGAGACTGGCCTCACAGGGTTTATAAAGGGCCTAGAAGTCTTTGGTTGGAACTTGCTGTGAAAGTATAGAAAATTAATTAGAACTTCCCGAATAAATACTTTTTACCTTTGGTTGGATGGATACTTGCCAATAATATATTGTGTTTGGGTCTGTTGTTCAGGAATTTTATCAGGATGGAAATGGACCGGAGAATGTTGGTGTTTATAACTTATCCAAAGGTGTTAACAGATTCTGTCTTTCAAAGCCAGGTAACTTCTTTCAAAATGTTTATTTTAAACAAAGTATTGCAGTTTCTAAAATTTGAGGACTGATTACTGTAGGATATTGGTAAACTTCTGAAGTTCGGCATTCTATACGACAAGTTAACAGAAATATTTTGTTCATAACCAAAGTGAATGTAGAAAAACAACCCTCTTCCATTTGAACTGGAACAAAGGGGCTCTGATCCACTCTCCACATGCTAACATATACTTTGATCATACCTAGATACTTCCAAATAATATCTCATTTGCAGATACTGGAAGTTTCATTACCATCTGGGCCTCATTCTGGGTACCTTTGAAACAGAAAGCACCAGCAGCTTGTCAGAGCCAAGAGAAAGGGTTTTCAAAAATTTGTTGTTTTTTTAATTTCTACATGTCCCAGATCTCCTGTGTGTAGGATGTGGAGTATGAATATTCAAGCTCAATTCTGCTTCAGTTTTGATCTCGGTTTACCTTAAGTCACATGTACTATATCTGTTACAGTGATTCTGTAACTGTTTAGAGATCTAGTCACTTCAACAGGTTGTCACTAATTTTGTCTAGTGGTGTCCACATGACTTATTGTTATCACAATAGTATGAGATTTCCCACTTGCCCATCTGTCTTAATGTTTTGCATTAGTATATTTTTGAGAAAATCTGGGCAAGTACCTGTAGTAATTTGTTGCAGAACTGAGCTGAAATAATTTTCAAGTGTCTGATTTCAGGGCTATAGTAATAAATAAAGCACTGTGATTAATTTCTATATATAAATGATACTGTTGTAAGCTGGGCTTTCTGTCTTTAGAATTCATTACTTCTTTCTTTAACTTAACTTCTTCAGGTGTTTATGAAGTGACCCCACGTTCCTGTCATCGATTTGAGCATGAATACTACACTTATGATACGTAAGCAAAAACAACACGCAAAGCATTTGATCTTGTAACTGCCATAATAGATGCTTTCTTCAGATGAGACTGGGTTTTTTTTAACTATTTGATGAAGTGAGCTTTAGCTTACAAAAGCTTGTGCTATATATAATATATATATATAGCATAATGTGTGTGTGTGTATATACATACACATGCGCGTGCGCGCGTCTGGTGCAAACTTGACTTCAGACCAATGCAGCTAACTTTTATTTAAACCCATCAGGAACGACATGTTGGCTATGATACATTTTAACCAGTAGGGGGAGTCCTTATCACAACAATGTGGAAAGGATCTGCTTTTGCCTTAGCTGCCTCTGTCAAAACAAATAAACAATTAAATTATGTTTAATCCTAGAGTTCAAAAACGTTTTACCATTTTAAATTGATCTTTTTGATACTCTTATTTCTCCTTATATTTAATTTTTCTTTGTAACAAAAACCAAAATGATTTCAACATAGAGCACTGATCATTTGATATCATGTTTGAGAAGAGCAGTTGCATTCTGTAACTAGGTGTAGTATTGTGACTACATTCCAGCTGTGGTAATTACCTTCTGCTTATACCTGATACTTTAGCTGAATAAGATATTTGCCCTAAACAGCTGTTGTGCGGTGCTCAGATTCCTGAGTTGATTGTACTTCTTTGGTGGGTGGAGTAGTTCATTATCGGTTTATTCCTGTAGTACCCAGGGCCAAGCCTCTATTAAACAGAAACCTAACGGGAGATTGTGCTTGGTTCAGAGAATAACTAGTCAAACTAGACAAGCCAGGTGCTGGGAAGGAGAGTGGAGGTACAGACACAGGAAGTGACTTGTCAGTTTGCTCTATGACCTTGGTTACACCACCTCCATAACTAGTATGTCATAGTTTTAAGGTAAATCGGATAGTCAGGGGAAAACTCACTAAATGAGGTTTCTTTTTTTTCTTCTTAAGAAGGAAATATGTAGTTCCTTTCTTTTCTTTTGACTTACAGGTCCTCTCCCAGTATCCTGACCCTGACTGCAATTCGGCACCATGTCCTTGGGACAATAACAACAGATAAACTGATGGATGTGACTGTTACCATTAAGTAAGAACAAAGAAATGTTGTAGCTGTTAAAAAGGATATCTTATTCATAAAGTTTTATTTGAGTTTGTAATATTGAAGCCAACACAGCTGTGGCACAAGTGCTCCTGGTTTTTAGCCCCAGCAGTTTTGAGTCACAGGCTGTTCTATGTCCTTAGGATTTTGCGTGGATGGATAAGTGGTCCGTGACTGTTATTTTATGCATTATCTCTCTATCTCTATTCAGCTGTTCCATATATATTTGTGAGAAGGTTACAAAAAAACACAGTTATGATGTTCCAAGAGATGACTGTTAGTGAACTGGGTTTTAATTTCTCTAGAATTCATCTGACCTTTTTTAGTCTGTTTTGGATACCTTTGTTTTGGGATCTGTTTTTTCTCTTAACACTTCAAGAAGAGAGACCTGTTTTCTGCTTTAGACCATTGTTATTGGCATGAAGAAGCTATAAAAAGGAAACCATGTAGAATGATTACACACTAATGTGCCAGGTTATATTAGCTGAAAATGCAGGTTGCAGGGGGATTTGTGAACAGTTTTAATTGGTTGAGGTGTCAAGTGAGGCTGGGAGATGCTGACTTGATGAGAGCTTTACTAAAGCTTTGCTGATGCTCATGTGTTCTAACTAGCTTTCTCAGACTTTCATAAAATATTATAAACCTCTTAGCAAAGTAAAAATCCCTGAAGGAAATTCAACCTCTAGCCTAATGAACCTGCAGCAACTGGTAATATGGAAAAGTAACACAGAGATAGTAAAGAACTGACAGCTTTTCTCCTCAGTGCGGTTTAGCAGCTAGAACTGGAGGCCCAATACCAGGCAGTGCTCTGTTGGCAACTGGTGGTCAACAGACTGTGTTTAGCCTACGTTTTGTTTTTTGGCTATTTTGTGAAAAGAAAGGAGACATCCTGGGCACCTCAAATGGGATTAAGTTCTTAGGGTAAAAAATGTGTGTATATATAAGACTAGCCATTTGATGAGAATATGATTAGAAAATGTACAAGAAAGTACATGATAGCATGTCATGGGATTCGCCTGTAGACTGGAATTAATCAGTTTACTTCCTGATAAAATTGATGGCACAGCCCTCTGTGTGTGGGGGTCAAAACTAGTGTGAGAGCAGGGTATGTGACCTCTGCCTCCCCCCTCTCCCCCTCGAATGGCCTAGTGTAGGAAGATTCATTGCACTCCTTGGTATAGCTATTGGGGGGAAAATGTGAAAACTTGGCATATTTCTCAGGATCAACTTTTCTGATGTGTAGATCAGGGCTGGCCCGTCCTATCCTGCAAAACCTGTGGCCGCAGGGGACCCCACAACCAAGGGGCCCCCAGCGTTGGGCCACTCGCCATATCCTCCCTCCCCTCCTGCTTCCGGCTTCTTTGGATCAGGGGGCCCTAAAACTATTTCTTGCAGGGGGGCCCTAAAAAATTGTGGGCCTGGTGTAGATGACCTGGCTATTAAAGAGAAACGAGATACAGTATAGAGAATGATCAGTGACCATAGATATAAACAAATAATAGTGCAGAGTGGAAGGAGGGCTTTAAGGTATGGCCATAGTGCAGG